TGGACGCCCCTCCAAGTGAAAGCAAACTGTGGCCTGCACTCTGCTGCCAAAGGGATTGAGAAGAATGCATTGGCGATATCAATTGTTGCATACCACTTGGCTGCCTTCGACTCCAGTTCATATTGAAGCTCTAGCATGTCCGGCACAGCAGCGCTCAGCGATGGCGTGACTTCATTCAGGCCACGATAATCCACTTAGTCTCCATTCTCTATTAGATTTTCGCACTGGCCATATGGGACTATTAAAGGGTGAACGAGTCTTGCTGATCACTCCTTGAGTCTCTAATTGACGAATCAACTTATGGATAGGAACCACAGAGTCTCTGTGGAGGTTTGGTTGGCGGAGCGGGGACATGTAAGCATGGAAATGTTGAGTCAGCAAGAGCTTGGAAAGTATCGTACTCAGCTGGTGTGATATCTAATCAGAAACAGGGGCATCCTGCCTTTGTTTATACCATCGAGACAGGAACAAGGATGTTATGGTTAACATGTGTGTGAGGTCCCGGACCGAAAACAGGAACGCAAGGCGGAACTGACCTTCAAGTAACTAACCAATGATGAGCTTGGTTTTTGCAATATGTATGAGCTGATTAAGAACCCTATAAAGCTTGATGGCAATGTTTTAATAAACGAAGTCTACTGATCACTCATATTGAGCGACTGTGTCTTCCCTCCGTTCCGGCGAATGGCGTAACATTTGGCGCCCGAACAGGGACCCTCGCAGCGACCCGATAGCGGAGACTGGGAGCCACGGCCGAGCGGAGACGCTGGGAACCGGTCCTGTAAGCAGCGCAGGAGGCGAAAGGGAGATAATCCCCGCGCTCAGGAGCACCTACAGAGGTTGTCCTGCCGGCCACGCGCCGCCCAAGTCTTGTAAAGGCTGCAACAGCGCTGACGAAGGTATGAATAGACAAGCGGCGTATGATTTACTCAAATGCTTTTTAGAAAAGCGGAGCATAGAGGGGTTAGACTGTAAAAAGGAACTCCCCGGGCTGTTAGCTTATGGAGTAGCAAAGGGCTTTTTGCCGACCCCAATACTATTTTTGATGAAGGAGAGTGGCGAAAATTCGGGGACAAGTTGTTTGACGAAGTTATAAATGAGGAGAAGGTAGCAAAGAAATTAATGAAGCCATGGCGTGCGGTAACAAATGCTATCCTAATGCACAAAGTGGAACAGCAGGTTGCTGCTGTCGCCGCTGAAAAAGTTCAAGTGCTGCGGCTATGCCGTCCTCACAGCAGGCAGCTGCAAAAGCCCCCTTGGATTGTCCTATGCCCCCATCCGTGTGCACTATAGTTGTCCCGCAGCCTGCATGCGGGTCTTGGGACTTTTCACAAGTGAGCTCTGCAATTGAAGAGGAAGCGGCCCCTACCGCTCCCCAGGTCGAGACGCCGGATGAGGTCGCGCCGGAAGCTGCCCCTCGGGCAAGCGACCGTGGGACTAATCCATTTGTGCAGGGGCCAGATCTTATCGCCGAGCGGCAGCGGTGTTGGCGCCAAATTGCAGATGCCGCCATGAGCGCTGGGGACCGGGAGGCTGCAGCCAGCCTGATGACTGATACGGCATTTCCAGTAATCTATCAGCCGAATGCTCAAGGGCAGTTAGTAGCTACACTTCAAAATTTAGACTGGAAGCTCTTGACGCAGTTGCGCGCCACGGTTAATGAGTCAGGGATTAAGGGAGAACCTACAAGGCAGATGTTGGATTATATTTGGGGCACTAATATACTGCTCCCGGGCGATATACGGAGCATAATGAAGTTGATTCTTACCCAACATCAGCAGTTGTTGTTTAATGCGCACTGGCAGGCTGCCTGCCAGCAGTCAGTAGCTACTGTAAGACAACCAGGTGACCCACTGTATGGGATCACTCTTGATAAGCTTATGGGGTTCGGAGCCTACCTGCGTTTAGAGGCCCAGGCAATTATGGGACCGGATAAAGCTAAAGAGGCTATGCTGATGGCACGCCAAGCGTTTGATCAGCTTAAAGAGCCGGGCGGTGTCCCCTCCTATATGGGAATTAAACAAGGGAGGGAAGAGCCGTTTGGATTGTTTATTGATCAGGTGGCGAGCGCCCTCCAAGCAGCAGGGGTACCTGACTACCTCAAGGGCACGATATTGAAGCAGTGTGCGATCCAAAACAGTAACCCCGCCACGCGAAATATTCTTGCCACGCTGCCCGGTACTTGGTCCATTGAAGAAGGATTAGAGAGGATGGCGCAGGTGCCAGTGGGACCACAAGCAATGTTAGCTGAGGCTGTGAGGGAGTTAGGAAAAAGCTTACAAGAGCATACGCAATCCTCGCATAGTCAGATTATGGCAGCCCTTGCACCTTTACAAGCTCCGGCGGCCTGGTCACCCTCGCGTGGACCCATCCGTCTCCGGTGTTTCCGCTGCGGTCTGGCAGGGCACCTGAGAAGAGAGTGCAGAGCCAGATCAGTCCGGTGTAAAAGGTGCAACTCCGATACTCACGCTGAAGCCGCCTGGAAACGTGGCGGGCCGGGAAACGGGATGAACAGCGGGAAGGACCGCCCCGCATTGACAAAAAATGCGGCCGCCTATCCAGCAGCAACCCACAACCCATTTGCAGCCAACGCAGCGTCCAACCCTTTCTCCTCCAACCCGCCACCAGCGGGAGCCTTGGATTGGACCTGGCAATAGCAGTAGACTGCACCCTGCTTGACTCTAGACCCACGCGGATTGCAACTGGCATACATGGACCTATTTTAGTGAACAACCAAGCTGTTGGAGCATTGTTAATCGGCCGCTCTTCCGCCACAATGTTAGGCCTCACCGTGTTAGTGGGACTGATTGACAAAGACTTTCAAGGAGAAATACAGATAATGGCACAGACACTGTTTCCGCCTCTTTTTGTTGCCAAAGGCTCTAAAATTGCTCAGTTAATTCCGTTGCCTCACCTAACTGAATCGCTAGCCCCCGCGCAGATGGCACCAAGGGGAAGTGGTGCATTTGGATCAACAAACCAGGCAGCCTTTTTGACTATCGGACTGCAACAATGGCCCCGGCGAAGAGTTTCAGTACAGCATGCAGGACAGGTGATCTCACTCATTGCCTTACTGGACACAGGCGTGGATGTCTCCATTATCAGTGAACGCCATTGGCCGTTCCACTGGCCATCACGTACCACCAGCGCCACGGTAGCTGGAGTCGGAGGATTGACTCTAGCCCGGAAGTCGCCCCTCCTCCAATGGACTATAGAGGGAAAAGTAGTTAACTGTTGTGCTTCAATTATACCACTCCCTGAAGGGGTGCAAGCCCTGGTAGGGCGAGATATACTCGCGCAAATGGGAGTGGTCCTGACCACTGAAGCCCCTTTTTAGGGACAGCCATTGCTTGGACTTTCCCGATCCCGCTCAAATGGAAAACAGACACTCCTGTATGGATTGAGCAGTGGCCGTTAAAGAGGGAAAGTCTAGAACAAGCGCATAAGCTTGTACAAGAACAATTTTCTCAGGGTCATCTGCGACTCTCGACCAGTCCCTGGAATACACCTATTTTTGTAATCAAAAAGAAGTCGGGGAAGTATCGATTACTTCACGACCTGCGGGCAGTCAACAAACAAATGTTTGACATGGGAGCATTACAGCCCGGTCTACCCAACCCAGCCATGATACCCGAAGGTTGGCACCTACTTATTGTGGATTTAAAGGACTGTTTCTTTACTATCGCTTTGCATGACGACGACAAGCAGCGGTTCGCTTTCACCCTGCCTGCACTCAATCGCGAGCGACCTGACCAGCGGTTTGAGTGGACAGTCTTGCCGCAGGGCATGCGGAACTCGCCCACCCTATGTCAAATTTATGTTGACACTGCCCTACAGCCGCTTCATCAGAGCTGGAAGACTACTCTCATTTACCATTATATGGACGATATCTTGTTAGCACAACCATTTCCTTTTTCCCCGGCACAGAAAGAAGAGCTAGCTGAGCAACTTAAATGCCAAGGTTTGATGATAGCACCAGAAAAGGTGCAAGAAACGAATCCTTGGCACTACTTAGGTTGGCGTATAACCGAAGCCACCATCAGTCCTCAAAAGCTGTCAATACACCTTGAACTCCGCACCCTGCATGATGCTCAGAAACTCTTAGGGGATCTCCAATGGCTTCGCCCCGTTGTAGGAATACCGAATGAGTTATTAAATCAGCTACGTCCCCTGTTAAAGGGGACCGATCCCGCCACGCCAGTAAGTCTGACGCCACAGCAGAAAGAAGTGCTACAACGAATCGCGAACCTTGTCGCAGAACGATCTACGCATCGGCGAATTGCTGACCGACCCATAGACTTGACTGTTCTGTGTGGCGAGCAACACCTTATGGCTGCTTTAACTCAGCAAAAAATAAAAACGGGGGAGAAACAGGACACCATCGTACTAGAATGGGTAGCCCCCCCACTGCAACCACGACGAACAGTGCAGGAAAAAGTTGTTACCCTAGCAGAACTGATAAAGAAGGGCTGGCGCCGCGTCATGCAAATCGATGGCACCCCCCCCAGTACCATCTGGGTACCCATGAAGCAGGCGGACTTAGAGTGGTATCTACAAAACTCGGAGGAGCTGCAAGCGGCGCTGCTCAAGGATGGAGCAGCATTGATCGTCAAACCGCTGACATCGGCCGTCCTTTTATGGATGGAGAACAAGAATTGGCTCGTCAGGCCTAAACGTTCAGAGCAGCCCCTCCCAGAAGCACTCACGGCTTTCACAGATGCTGGTCGCCGGTCAAAAACTGCTGCTATAACCTGGAAGGAAGGGCAACAATGGAAACATCAAATATTACAAGCTCAGACAAACGACTCTTTGCAGACCTTGGAACTGTTTGCGGTTGTGTGGGC